GTTTTTCTGTTTTAAAGAGTTCTGAGAATTTTTTAAAAGATCACCGTCCTTTATTTAAAATATTACTCATACAAAGGAAAATATATTGACAAGTTCATATGTTACCATACAGGTTTCTTATTTTTTCTAGTGTTTCATTGACCCCCTTTGCTAATAATATTTTATGCATCATTTTTTATTAGATATCTAAACTTATTTTAATTTTCATGATTTTGCTGTTTATAATTTTTCAAAACCAAATGTCCTGTATTTAGTAACTTTTTTTCTATATTTTTGAACTTCTGTGCATATCATATAATATACCTTAGTCACATTTAGATCGCCTCCCCTGTCTGCACACCCTTATATGCTGCTGTCAGATTTCATACCTGTCATAATAAATTAAGGCCTATGGAGTCAAGTTTGTGTCACCAGATGTCCTTTGCTATGAGTTCATTCACTGAAGCCTGGTCAATGTATCAAGTGTCTCTCCCTTAAAGAAGACCAAGTCTTCTGAGCATTCTTTACAATAAACTGCACTGACTGATGGTCCTGAAAGCAACTTTCAAATGTAAATCTTTATTTGCTACTTGTATATATTTTTTTCACTTTTGTTTTAACAAGCTATATATGTCAAATTGTGTTCTTTCCTGTTTCCTGACACTACTAGTCACAATAAACTGTAGCCTCAGCTATCACACTTCCATGAAGATGAGCCTTCTGATATTCAAAAGTGTGTGGTAGATCATCCTGAATTTATGGGGTCCACTTTTTAGGATATACAAAGCAATAAGTGTTTAGCTGAAACTATATATCGAGTCAGGTTTGTCTCATCCAAGGCTAGTGATAGGAAGTATAATGCTTAGTAGTGCTCCTTGGCAGTGGAAGCAGGCCTCAGCACCCAGTCAGTCACAACATTGCCAGGGCAAATACTAGTCTGCATTATACTTTTCTGTTAAGCTATAATCCCTGTTAGGGTAGGTGGATTGCATACTTTTCCACTTAGCAGTATATTCAACTAAAGCTGGGCTTGTCAGATATTACCCCATCATAAGTGGGAGAACATCCCTAGTTTGTTCAAGGTAACAATGACTAGGCTGTGTGGAGTTTAAATCCAAAGTTACCACTACATGATTCACTCCACAGTGTCCTTACTCTTTTGAGTCCCTTTTGTTTAAAATCATTTTTTTAAATCACCTCAACATTTCAGAATATCTTCAGATATTTTGAAACAATTCACTTGTCACACTCTAGCTCGAATTTTCTATTGTTTGTTTTCTTTATACAAAGTTTTGCTGTGTAGCTCTAGCAAGCCTGGCATTCATTATGTAGCCCAGACAGATCTGGTAATAGTTATGTAGCTCAGACTGACTTCAAATGCAATGATAATCCTCCTGCTTCTACAACTCCTAGGTGCTGGGATTACAGGTGCAGATCACCATGCCTGGCTTTTCTCTTACTTTTACTCAAAGTTTTGCTTTATGTATTTCTTTATTTTGATACAAGGTCATGCTATGTTCCCCACTCAAAGAGGCCTCATATTACTGAGGTCATGCGGTCTTCTTGCTTAGCCTCCTCAGTAGCTGGAACTGAGGATGCCACTGTTACATCAAAATTTTAAAGCAGACAATGGGAGAAGAAAATATCCTAGGGGCTGTTCAGTGTAAAACATGATAAAACTTACGGTTTGTAATCTAAATCCTTTGGGAAAGAGAGATTGTCAAAGAGAAATTGTAGCAGGGCATAGTGGCACACATCACGCATCTCCAATTCCAGCACTCAGATGTCAGAGGTAGGAAGATAGCCAGTTTGAGTCATACTGGAGTACAAAAAAAAAAAAAATCTTATCTCAAAACACGAAATAAATCAACAACAAAACCCCCCAAAATAAATAAATATTCACTTTCCCAATCAACACATTGATTGTAAATGTAGCATACATTTTTCAGTGAGCTCGGCTAGCGGTGATCAAATAAACGAAGCATTTTCAGTGGTGCTCGCTTTGCAGTGAGGGTCACAGAAAATAAGAAACAGTGTGTATTATATATTTAGAGAAGCACTAAAGAGAATATATTTCTGGAAAAGCACTAGTGGAGAAAGGTGTTTGTGACCTTAAGGTAACTCAGAATACTCTGTGAGAAGGAGACACTTCAATGAAGTAGCAATGGATAGAAACACATGAGCCACACCGATTTCCTCTGGGAGAGGATTCAGGCCACAGGATCATCAACTTCAAGACCCTGGAACTAGAATGTCCCTGCCATGTCCCATAACAGACCTCAGAAGCTGAATAGGAGGAGAGGAAGAACCCAAAATGTATAGTTCTTTTAGTATAGTATGATCCTTTAGAAGGACTTTGGTTTCATTTCTATTTAGACAGGAGCCATTGTAGGCTTTGATCAGAGGAGTTGCGTTCTTTGCCTCTCTTTCTCTAACACACATACATACACACACACAGAGAGAGAGAGAGAGAGAGAGAGAGAGAGAGAGAGAGAGAGATTTTGTTGTGTAACCCAGGCTAGCCTCAAACATACTATCTTAGAAGTATTTAGTGTCTGCTGCCCTTTTCCTCTTTATCATACTAATAATATGTAAATTTTGAGTTGTGTCAGATGAGAGTTCTGCCTCAATGTCATGTACACACAGATGGTGGTTGCTGTTTTCCCAGACAGTCAACACTGAGTGTGAATTAATTACTAGGCTTTATTGTTCTGCGTTTGAGTCTTATGTATTTTGTTGCTGACATTTTGAAATCTGCTATTCTTTTCTCACTAACTCTTCATGGGGCTTTTGAAGGGTCTATTGAGGTTCCAGGTGAATACACTTCTAATAATACAACTACCCTGATGAACAAAGGTGGGGCTTTTTAGTGTCGTCTATTTTTCTTTAGTGGTTCAGGTCTTTTGGATACATTTGAGAAGGTATTGTCCTGCCATTTTTCCATTATGGGAAACTGCTGTGCTGAACGCCTGGCTTGATACTTCAGCACAGCATCTTTCCATTGAGTCAAAGAGGAGAGCAAATAGCTCTCTGTTCAGGGAGCCAGTCAGCACTAACCACTCTCCACTCTCAAATCATAAAACTAATTTAAACTATCAGAGACCCAGCACTCTTTTAGTAATATCCCTCAGAGAACAAAGCAGTTAAAACAGAATTTCACCTAGTTTTCTTTCATGATTTGGGCTACTGAGAAATAGAGCCAAGAGTTATATAGGAATATTTCAAACCTGTTTCACAGTTCTAGAGGAGGTATTCATGAAATAACAACCATGCAGCCACATCTAGCAGGAAGAGAAGGGTTGTGATTCAGATACTTATATAATGACTTCTAAGAATGTCCACATTCAGAGCAATCCTTTATACTATGAAGCTAAAGAATAAAACTAAAAAACATGGATACCAATATATTTGTAATATGGGATAACTTAATGTAGATGCAACTGTGGTTATTTCCATGTTAAAACATGTATATGAGGGACTGGAGCGATAACTCAACAGTGAAGAGTACATACTGCTGCTCTACAGAGGTCCTGAATTCAAAACCCAGGTCAAGCAGCTCACTACTGCCTGTAACTCCAGCTGCAGGGGATCAACACATCTGGCTCCCTCAGTATTGGCACTCATGTGCACAAGCTCCCACATATACATATACATAATTAAAACTAAAATAAATCTCAAATATATATTTGTATATGATTTATACAGCCAAATATGCTATCAATTTGAAGCGTATCTGTGTTTTGGCCCTCAAAATTGTCCATGTACCTATCCAGTCCAGTGTCATGATCTGTATCTTCTCCATTTTCCACAAGTTATATACTATATATAGGTTGTTTGACATTTTTTTTCAAAAAAGAATATGCTGGATTTTTGAGAGTTATCTATGTTTGCAATGGTCAATCTAACACATTTTTCTTACTCTTTAGAATTTCATTAATTAATCTTAATTATTTATCTATTCCTTTACTGATAGAAATTGGTTGTTTAGGGCTTGGCAAGAAACCAAGAAAGAAAAGAGGAATGGGCTGTCTGTCAGAGACCATTTCTTGACTTTATTCCTCCTCCTGGTGCACTGTTTTGATAAGTCACTATGAACTCTAAAGATCTGAAGAAACTGTTTAGGGTGAAAGCAAATCACCAAAGAATGACAGAGTTTTGAGTCTTAGAGTAAGAACAGAAACAAAATAATGGACTGTCTTGGGAATATGGCTAATGTGACGCTTGCAGGACTATTTTAACAGACCTCCAAAGGGCAGTGCTATGACATAAAAGGTTCATCAAGCTCTTGCCTCTTAGCTCTACCATATGTTTTGCATTACTATTGTGTGAAGTTACTTCTTTTCCATCTATGTAAAACAGACTCTATTAATTGAAACCCCTTCAAGGATCAAACGTCCTAATCTTCCAAAGCTATCCAATATGAATATAAATGCAATGAATATCCTCATTCTTTCAGATCTTCCTGTGAAATGTGTGGTGTACACGTAGCTACTCATCAGAATTAACTGAGGATTTTTATAAAAGTGCATGCTTTATGTACTATATGGAAATTATGATAAATGATTTGTAGGACACAATTTTTTTTCATATACAAAAATATCTGTGGATGATTCAAAAACAAGAGACACTAAATCCCTTAAGTGTATCACTTAAAGTTCTGAATAGAATACTTCCCAACAGGAATTGATGGAAAAATAATCCAAAAAAGCAATGTAGGTTTCAAACTAGTTTTTCCTCTTTGACATGTTTGGCCAGAGTTATGTTGACATCTTTGTTATTTATATCATGAAAATGTAGGGGCTAAAATGTGGCCACTGAATGTTATTGAAACCCTCAAATGTTGAAACTTTTTATACCTTGACAAAAGAGATGAAAAATTTAAATTTTGGAATAGAAACCTCAAATGATTAAGTCCTAGCATTAATTGTGGGCATGGAGGCTATTTATTATATTCCTAAAACCATACTTCTTGAAGCCAGCTTCATAAAGGCAACTTATGGCTCTTTCTGTTGTGTTTGCAGCACAGTGATGCGGTCCATGACCTCCTTCTGGATGTGATCACATGGGTTGGAATTTTGCTGTCCCTTGTTTGTCTCCTGATTTGCATCTTCACGTTTTGCTTTTTCCGTGGGCTCCAGAGTGACCGCAATACCATCCACAAGAACCTCTGCATCAGCCTGTTTGTGGCAGAGCTGCTCTTTCTTATTGGAATCAACCGAACGGACCAACCGGTAAGCTACCCAACACTAGTATTGGCAAAGACTTGCTCCCATTCTGGCTTTCCAATACTACCAGTATGGGGGGGGGGCAGTTGAAAGTGTCCTTTCTTTTTGCCCAGTTCATAGCTAGTGACTTCTCAGATCTTGCTCTGTTTTTCAGTTTTTCATGTCCCATTGCCTTAAAAAAAAGCAGTGAATATTATAGGTAAGGTATTCATTTCGTTTTATTTCTAAATTAGAAGTTTTCAGTTTTTCAGATAGTGTGGTGATTGACCACATAACTCTCCCTTCACATATGCACAGCCCCTTTGTTTTTCACACACCACCTGCCTCAGTGATGCATTTGACAGTTGAAGCATTATTGGCACATCATTATTACTGAAAGTCCATAGTTTGTAATTTTCATACGAATTCATTCTAAGAGTATACACACACATATACATATATACTCTCTTATAATGCCTATGCAATATTCTTCATGGCCCTGAACATTCTATCTCCCCTGTTCATCCCTCCTTCTCTTTTGACTCATGAAAATCACTTTTTTTTTCTCTTTTTGTGTTCTTCAGCAGTTTTGCAACAGTTTTGCAAATATCACATAATTACAATGCTATGTAGCTTTATTTGATTATTTACTTAGTAATATACATGAACACTTTTTAGATATCATTTTGTGACTTGAGAGCTCTTTTCTTTTTAGTACTGAATAATAGTTCTTTGGTGACATACCACAGTTTTTAAGCCATTTATCCACTGAAGGGCATATTGGTTGCCTCCAGATTTTTTTTTTCAAATTTGAATGAAGCTGCTATAGGCAGACATTTGTTCAGAACTTCAGCAAGTTTGTTTTTATGGCTAGAGCAGCAAAGAAAAAAGGATAGCTTTGAATTTTTAGTTTTCAGAAGACTTACAGGTATAATAAATAATTTATATATGTAATGCTGCTCCCCCACAATATACTTACATGAATGATGTTTTATATAAAAGATGCAGTTGCATTCAAGTTTGTGATTATGCATTCATGATTAATGACTGTAAAGGATATAATTATAGTTGAATATATTTTTAATTGGTTATCATATACTTTCTCATAAATGCATATATATGAATAAGCAATCAAAGTACACAATTTCTCCCTAAAGTAAAACCCTATGATAACAGAAATTATTAGTTGAAGTTCTAACTTTCAGAAAGCACAAATGAACAATTTTGTTATTTTCCTGGAAGATATTCTGTTCTTCAGTTAACCTATAATTCGAATACTATTATTTCCTTTCATTTGGAAATCTTATTTTAGTTTTAGATTCCTTGTATTTTACGTGGTATGATAAACTTCACCATACTGTGTAGACTGCACAAAACCAGCCTCTGATGAGTAGCATAAAAGGTGGTGATTGATATAAAACACATGGGGAGGGTGACGCTTAGTGAAGCTTGTCTCTTTCTCTTCTCAGAGGTGGCCTCTGCTGCATTCCACATCATGTTTTGGGACCCAATTCCTCTCTTATCTCCTAGACATTTGACTTGTTCATTCCTCCTTTTAATATCATCCCTCTAAGGCTCAAGAACTCTGGCTTTCTTAGATATCAGGCTTATCAATAAATCCAACATCATCTTACACTCTGTGTTTGGTAACCTCTGTTGAGTAGAAGAAATAGATTTGCATCAGGACTTCTTATCAAAAGAACAAACACAAAGGCATGAGAGTTGTTAGTGGGGGCTTGATTGGTGAGCAGCTGGAATTTATGTACTGTAGGTACTATAGTACTATTTATATATGTGATACTACTCATGTCTGTGAATAACTGTATTTTATTTAAGCCAAGCTTATCTAGACTGTTTAATGTACTGATTAAAAAAATCAGAGAAAGAAAACATTTTAGGAAAATTTCATTTAAAAATTTGATTTGTTTAACTTATATTTTCTCTGTATGTGAGTACCTGCATGTATGTATGGGCACCATGTTCTTGATGCCTGTGGAGTCCAGAAGAGGGCATCAGATCCCTTGAAATTAGAATGACAAATGACTGTGATTCCCCATGTGGTACTGGGACCAAATTCTGGTCTTCTACAGGAGCAACCAATACTTCTAACTTCTGTGCCATCTCCTGAGCCATGGACTACTGCATTTTAATGGGATCTATGTTTGCCCTAATACAGCATTAACTTTCCAACATTTCTAAGTCCTGTCTGAAAAAAATGCAGGGGAGAAACAATTAGAAATGACTAACAGTTAACTATTATTAATTAATGACACTGTTTAACATTATTCAATTTAAAAACGTTTGTTTTCCTTGTTCTTAATGTTTCTCCTTCATTTATAATTAAAGAAATTGAGGGAGGTGTAGCTCATTGTTACTTAGTCTGTCTAGCCCCTTCAGTTTGATTGCAAAATAGAGAAAGCCCTGATTATAGTAGTTATAGTAACCTATGTCCAGGAGAAAATTTTTATGATATCTACTTTTTAAATGCCCCCCCCACCCCCTCACCGCATGTAAGACAGAGACAGAGTCTCATGGTAGCTTAGTCTACTTTCATTATACTCACCCCAGCTTCCCAAGTACTGGAGGCGTGCTCTATCACACTCAGATTTAAAGATTTAAACATCTTTGAACTATCCCTGGGCTCTTAGATTTTTTTCCCCCCGCTAAATGTTATAATTTTCCTTATTTGAATGTAGTGCTGTCGGCCATCACTGGTATTACCATTAAAGACAGTTTTCAAGGGTAGGTTCTATTTATTTATTGTAGCGGTTATAGTTTAAGAATCTTGTCCTGATTATTCTTTTGCAGATCTGCTTCGTAATCGCTGGGTTGATCAGCTCTTAATTCCAGTTTTATGGTGGTTGATAGGCATTCCGTGTCCTTTTTCTACGACTGAATCCCGTTTCCTCTTCCTAGATCGCCTGTGCGGTGTTTGCTGCGCTCTTACACTTTTTCTTTTTGGCGGCCTTCACTTGGATGTTCCTAGAGGGAGTGCAGCTCTACATCATGCTGGTGGAGGTTTTTGAGAGCGAGCATTCACGTAGGAAGTACTTTTATCTGGTCGGCTACGGGATGCCTGCACTCATCGTGGCCGTGTCAGCGGCAGTGGACTACAGGAGTTATGGAACAGACAAAGTGTGAGTTGAATGTTTGCTTTCTTGCTTTTTTCACTCTTTCTTTAGAAATCTCCTTGAAATAAAAGCTTTGGAGTCCCTTGGTCTAGCTCTGACCTCACAGCATTCACTAAAGGAACTGAAGAAGCAACTCAGAGTATAATTCAATGCATGGCTGGCTGTGCGTTTGTTATTAGGGGAAAAGGAAATGCTTAAGACTGTAAAGCTGCCTAATATCTCTAGCTCTAACCCTGAGTGATAATGAGGATGATAATTTCATTAGTTTTCACAGCTTTGAGCAGCTCATGACCCTGGCTTCTATTACTGTAAGGTCAGTGCTAGTCACTGGGTTGGCTTTTATAGCCACAGGAAAACTGCAGAGCTGGACCAGCTTGTGCCCCTCCCCTGTTTATGCTTATATGTGTTTGGGGATATAGTAATAAATTTTATTTTCAATATAACTTTAAATTGTTGAGACATGTGTATAGATGTGTAGCCTATCAGAAGTTCAATTGAAAGGGCTTTCATGACAACTGAGATCCTGAAAATTGAGTGAAAGTTTCAATAGAAAGAGAAAGAAGACCAAGAAGAGATCTCATGAATACATGCACATATGACATTCACTAAGGGTGAAGAATAAAAGCAGAGGAAAGAGGGAGTAAGCAGAGCCTTAGGACTCCTTGGGACTGAGGGTCAAGGAAAGTAAGAGAAAGTTTCATGCTAGCCTTTCAGAAGCAGCAGTGATTTATGTCAAAGATAATTCAAATAGGATGAGCACCACAGAAACTCGCTTGACCTTTGCAGCAGTTATTTCAAGAAAGTGTTGGAAGCAGAAGCCAAATTGCAAGGTGTGAAAGAAATAAGATAGCGGCCAGAAAACACAGGCTCTGTGCATTTTCTATACCCTGAAGGAATTTGGTTGAAAATATTATTTTATGTGAATAAAGTCATGAAGGAATTTTGAGAAGGAGATGTCAAGTAAACTGAGGGGATGTAGTTCTGTGGTAGAGGACTTACCTGGCACTCACACACTGTGGGTTTGAACAACATGGAAAAAAAAAGGAGTTTATAAAAGATGAAGTCTTCAACGTGCCTAGTCTGAGAAGACTAAACTGACAGGAAATTAATAGAGAAAAAAATATTAAGGTCTCATTTGTATTCGGTGCATATAGTCTGAATAAAGGGAAAGGTCCCAGGAGGATAAAATGACACAGAAGATTAGAAAAACCTTGATGTAATGTTAAAAGGAACTTTGGATTCACCAAGTCTGTGATATAAATTTCATAGATGAGAAAAATCAACCTTATTCATCCACTGCCTGGCCTATGAGTGTAGAGATAGGTATAAGCAGATATTTGATAAACCAAGTCAGGTTTATTTCAAATGAAGTAAAATTTATTATTATCTTTTAAATTGGAGAATGACCTTTCTCTTTAGATGTGAGTGAAGGAAGGAATGAATAAAGTAATTCCTAAGCAGGGGAACAGTTCCATCAACTATAAGATGCTGGCTTCTGTTGAGTGAAGTGGTGAGGTCACGTTGAGAGTACAGGAGATCTGAAAAGCTTTGAGATGAGCACTATGGAAAGTGTGTTAAAGAGCCAGTTAGACATTAATAAAAAGATTTCCAAGCAACAGTGAAGGCTCAGATGAGGTTAGATAACATCAATTTGTACAGAAGTTAATAAGCCAAATTTCATGACTTTCCACCAGCAGTCAGCAGCCTGAGCATGCTGGCAGGAAAGCAGCTTGCTTCCCAGAAATGAAGATTCGTAAAGAGGGAGTGCACACAGTAAGATGCTGGAATTAATCGCAGCATAGCTGAAATAGCACATATGGTGCACAGGCACCGACAGTGCAATTAAAAGACCATCCCATTTCTGGTTCTTTCTTTCTAGAGTGCGGTGATGGTCCATGTATTTGTCTCAGTGCAACAATTATTTTCAAATCTGGTGTTGTGAATTGCTATCAGATCTGAATTCATTCTGTCAAAACCAATAACAACTCTGGGATAGACTAGAGTTAGCAAAAAGCCTTATTTAAGGTTGCTTCTAAAGTCATCGTAGAGGAGAGGTGTTAGGTTGATCATAGGCTCTTTTTTTCTGTTCAAATTATGCCTTTATTGATATAACTCACATCATAAAATGATTCCTTTAAAGTATATACTTCAGGTGTTTTTATTATGTTCTCAGTGTTATGCACTCATCACCACTGATTTTAGAATTTTTTTCATCAACCTATAAAGAAACCCATTAGCAACCATTCTCTCTGGATCACAGGGTTTTACAGTTTAATTAATGCATTACCCCTCACACTAAGAAACTAAGCTGAGTGATATCGTTCTGTGTGACTCTGTGCCATTTCATCTGGCTCTCTTGACGATCCTGGTTTACTTTTTGTTTGGTTTACTGTTTCTTTCTCCCTAGTTATTTGCAAATTTTCCTATTACTGAATTGAGTCAACCTTTTTTTTTTCTCCTTCAGTTATTTATTTATTTTGAAACAGATGTCACTTTCTGGATAGTAGAAATCTGTCTTAGAGTCAATAATGTGCAGTCTCTTGTGACTTTGTTAAAGCTTTGGCCATCATTGTTTTAATTTCCTGCCCTATAACTGGAAGGTCTCATTTACTGACATTAGTGCTCTGTGGGAATAGAGGCTAATTTATTTCCCAGGCACTGATTTTAAACAAACCTTAATTGCCCAGTTTTGCAATTATGATTTTTTTCTTAACCAGAAAAATAAAACAGAGATTGAGTGAAAAAAGGGATAGATAAATGAGTGAGGGAAAAGAATAGGGAAATTTTTGTTAAAATTCTATCACAAGCAGGCATGAATCATCTTAATATTTCTTTTGTACATTTCAAATAATGTTCAAAAAATGATTACAGAATCCATGGACAGAATATGCTGAACTTCTGTTTGGAAGATTTTATCCAACCCAGTATCTGTGTAGGGATGTTAAGTCAAGTGAGGGAGTAAGTATTCAAAAGAAAACTGTTATTCAGTGATTGGTGTTTATCTCAGAAGCAGAAATGAACTTACCAGGTTGCTATTTGGGCTTAGTCAACATGTCTTCTTAAAGAAAATTATAGGCAATTAATTTTATTTGTTATTTTTTTCATGGTGCTAGAGATAAAATTCAGGGTCTCTGCAGGTAAGGCAAGCACTCTATCACTGAGTTACATTCCCACCATAACCATTGAATTTTAACTCAATTTACAGGATTTCTACATACACAATTCTCCATTTCATTCCTTATTATTACCTTGTTCTCTGTTCTAGTTTCTGTAACCATTGTTGTTTGCTTTTCTTTCCTTTTATGTGGGCTTCTCAGTCCTTGCTCACTGCCTGACCTTTTTTTGCATATAACTCTGGCTCAAGCTTCATTGATTTTTCAAGACAATAAATAAAGTTACACTGATTTTTAAAAACAATGAAAATGTGGATAGTCTAATCTGATACAAACTGGAATTATCCAGAATTCAAAGAAGGTATTGTCAGCTATGTTCTGCAAATTCTTATTAATCACTTGAGTTTTCATGATTTTTAAGTTTTATTCCAGCTTCATCCTAAGAATATATCCAGAATAATAGCACATAATGTAATCGAAATCTAGACATTTCTCTTTTTTTCTCCTCTTACTCTAGTTAGTCATGTTATTATACTGATAATGAGGTGTTATGCCTAAAACCTTTAATAATAATAGTTTAAGTTTTCAAAAGACTGATATCAATGGTTGAAGATGAATTTAGAAATAAAATTGTTTTGTAAGCTAAATAAATTTTTTTTGATACAGCTAGAAATAGCTATCATATTCCATCTGGCTGATGGATTATGATGGGTTTTTCTATGAAATGTTATTAGGCTGTTGCGTTTATTATGTACAGAACACATACTCATGAGCAAAGCATACATAATTTGATCTTGAGATGTTTAGCTTGCCATCAATTTGCAATGCTTATGAAAGAGTCATTCTCTTCTGATGGCCTGTTTAACAAAATCTTTTAATCTAACTGATATATACTAAAAATGCAGTTATATTAACATTTGGATACAGTAGCTCTACATTTTTAAAAATATATTTAAGTAACAAAAAATATTTAAAAAATAACCCTCTGATCACAAACCTAAATTGCATTGTTAACAATAGGCATTTATTTGCATTTATCTCTGTTCTCATACTGTTGTTCATGTGGACATTCAGTGAAGCCATTCAATGGGATACTGTCAGAAGATGATTATAACAGATTGACATTGACTTAGCAAAAATTCAAATAAAACTGCTCTGTAATTTAGTTCTAATTACTATGGTTTTATGACTTGAAACTAATCAGTTAATTTAAACTTTATCACAATATTACAAAAAATTTAAATAGTTTAAAGTTAATCCTGAGTGAATTGGAGTAACACATGAGAAATGGGTATAGGAAGAGAGAGGGAGTACTCTGGAAATGAGTAAAACCAGAGAATTATTGAAGATATGAATTTGGACTTTGAAAGACATGATTTAAGTCAAGAACATTTATAATCAATCAGAAACCCATGAGTACCAGAAGAGGAGCCAGGCTCTTAAAAATAATTGATATCACATTGCATCATCTGTAAATTGCTGTAAATCATTTACTTACTTTTACATTTTTCTCTATAACTCACTAGCCTAAGAGCAATTATAAAATAGTAGTTTTTGTTAGTTAGAAGCCCCCTAATTTCTTTATTTTCACATCATCAAATAACCAGCATAAACATTTGGGTAGAAAAGTGATCATCAATTATTGTAAAAATACTAGCTAGATTGTAGTACCGTTCAAGAAAGAGACTAGTGGAACATCGAGGTGGACAGTATCAGCTACTTATGAGCACAGGTTTATTTTATACATTTGTTCACAATTTCTAAGCACCAAAACCCTCTCAGAAAACCAGTAGTATTCCCTCAGCAATTATTCTGTCAAACTGTAAAGCACTCTTGTGTTCACTGACATGAAACATCTATCTTAGTGAATATATTATCAGCCCATGTGTTTGA